CATGGTAAGAGGAGGCGTGGGTAGAAGAGGCAGGCGTTCAGTGCTGTGACGGAACTGGATCAGTCAGAACTCGGAGCCTGGTCAGTGTGAAAGCTAAGGAAGAGAGAAGAATCTAGAAGACAGACATTCTTGAAGGATCTGCCAGAAGTTGGGCCTTTGCCCTGTGCATTACCATGAGCTTTTCCATCCCTATTTCACAGAGATGGTTTCATTTACTTTTTAATGTGGTTATACATTTTTAATATCTTTAAAATTTTATCTGTAATTCCTACTTCCTTTGAGTATAAGCAAATAAGAGATGTATGCGTGTGTTTATTCCCTATCTTGACTCAGAGTCCCTTTGCCATTTTTCCCTAGGCTTCAGATGTTTCCGTGGTACCCTAAGCCTGGCTCTGGTAAAACTGCTAATGGGGTAACCAGCCCTTACCAAATTAAATCTAGAAAATATTCAAACATATTATGTGATCTCATATATATGAAATTCTACATTAGATAAAACTAACTTATGTTTTGTTTATTTCTTTTTACCTTTTGACCCCTTTCACCCATTTATCCCACCCCTCATCCCTGCCCCTGATGTCTGTTCTCTATATTTATTAGTCTGTTTCTCTTTTGTTTCTTTATCCGTTTTGTTTTAAAGATTCCGTATGTAAGTGAAATTATAGGGTGTTTATCTTTCTCTGCCTTATTTATTTCACTTAGCATAATGCCCTTGGTGTATGTTGTCACAAATGTCAAGATTTTATTCTTTTGTTATGGCTGAGTAATATTCCAGTGTGTGTATGTGTCAGTGTGTGTGTCTGTGTACGTACATACCACATCGTCTGTATCCATTGATGGACACTCAGTTTCCATACCTTGGCTACTGTAAATAATGCTGCAGTGAACATGGGGTGTACATATCTTTTTGAATTCATGTTTTCCTTTTCTTTGAATAGATACCAAGAAGTAGAATTGCTGGATTGTATGGTATTTCTATTTTTTACTTTCTGAGGGACTCTTACTATTTTCCATAGTGACTGTACCAATTTATTGTGCGATATTCATTATTGAAATAATGAACAAATGAGAAAAAGAAGATGTACATAGTGATGATACCAATTTACCACCAACAGCACATAAGAGTTCCCTGTCCTCCACATCCTTTGATCGTAGCCATTTTGACTGGTGTGAGGCTGGTTTTGATTTGCACTTCCCAGGTGATGAGTGGTGGGGAGCATCTTTTCATGTGACTTTGACCATCTGTTGGTCTTCTTTGGAAAAGTGTCTGCTCAGATCCTCTGCCCATTTTTCGATTGGAGTGGTTGGGTTTTGTTACTGAGTTGTATGAGTTCTTTATATGTCTGGTCATTAGCCCCTTACCAGATACATGATTTGCAATCATTTTCTCTTACTCAGTACATCGCCTTTTCATTTTGCTGATTGTTTCCTTTGCTGCACAGAAGCTTATTCTTGATTTCGTTGCTTTTGCTTTTGGTGTGTAACCTGTTGTGATATAAATCAAATCAGTGGTTGCTTCAGGGAGGAGGTATTGACTGTGAAAGAGCATGAGAGAACTTTCTAGAGTGATGGAAATGTTCAAGTCTTGATAAGCTTTCATCAAATTTAATCAAATGGTGTCCTGCTTTCCATAGTGACTGCACCAGTCAACGTTCCCACCGACAGTGTGCGCAGATCCTCTTTTCTCCATGATCTCCATACCAGCACTTATTTCTTATCCTTTTAATAAAAGCCATTCTGACTGATGTGAGGTGGTATCTCATTGTGTATTGATTCGCATTTTCCTGATTAGTGATGTGGAGCATCTTCCCATGTGTTTGTTGGCCATCCGTGTATCTTCTTTGGAAAAATGTCTATTCAGGTCCTCTGTCCATTTTTTTTAATCGGCTTATTTGTCTTTTGATGTTGAGATATCTGAATTCTTTATATATTTTAGATATTAGCCCCTTATTGGATATATCTAAGTGTCCATCAATGAAGGAATGGATAAAGAAGGTGTAATACATATATACAATGAAATATTATTCAGGCATAAAGAAGAATTAAGTAAGTCTTGTCATTTGTGACAACATGGACCTAGAGGCTATTATGCAAGTGAAACAAGTCAAACAGAGAAAGTCCATATGATTTCATTTATATGTGGAGTCTAAAAAACAAATCAAACAAAACAGAAATAGACTCTCGTAAACATAGAAAACAGAGTGGTGGTTGCCATAGGTGTGGGGGTGGTGCAACAGGCAAAATAGGTAAAGGGGATAAAGTGGTAGAAACATCTAATTATGAAGTAAATTAATCATAGGGATGAAAGTACAGTCTAGGGAATATAGTCAGTGATATTGTGGTATCTTTGTATGATGACAGTTAACTACACTTACGGTGAACATTTTATAATATATGTAATTGTTGAATCACTGTGTTGTACACCTGAAACCAATATAATATTGTACATCAACTCTACTTCAATCTTAAAATGTTGAATGGTATACTTAAAGTTTGAGTCTTTCATCCAGTAGTAAAGTAAAAGTTTTTTTAAATGACCAATAAGCATAAGGTATTCAATCTCATTGCTTAGCAGGAAAAGACAAATAGAAACCAATAAAATGGCAGTGCATGCCCATTAGAATGACTAAAGTTCAAAAAACGGACAAAACCAAGTTTGGTGTGAATGTGGAATAACTTAAATTATCGCTGCCCTGCACTGTGCACGTGAATTGTTCTGAATATTTTACAGAGCTGTTTGGCTCTAGCTAATAAAACCGGAGCGAGCATATGGTGTGACTCAGCAGCTCTACTCTTAAGCATGTACCCAGCACAGCTACGTAGGAGATGTGCCCAAATACATGTACAAAAATGTTTAAAGCTGTGTTGTCCAGAGTTTCAAAGGGGAAACAACCCAAATGTCAATCATCAGTGAAACATTTAAATAAGTTGAATATATAATTAGGCAAAGAATAATACACAGGAAGGTAAATGACTAAAACACTGTTACAGGCAGTAATATAGATGAATTTGGGGGGTGGGGGAATGAGCAAGGAAAGCTAGATACTGTAGAATATACAAAGTTTGATCTTATTTTTATAGAATTGAAAAGAAGACAAAGGAACCTATGATTTTAGAAGTCAGGGTAGCCTTTTCATTGGGAAAGAGGGTAAGAGTGAGTGGGATTGGTACCTGGGATATATAGCATGATAAAAAGCTTTATTTCTTAATTCTGGATTTGTTACAGAGTATGTTCAATTTGCCATAAGTCATCCAGATATACAGTCATGATTAGTACCAGTTTTCTCTGTGTATGTTATGTATTAATACAAAAAGCTATTATTTTCTAATTATACAGAATCCTAATGTATGAAGACAGAATAGTAACAGCATTACGGTTTTAACTAAATTATTAAAACATTTGGGTTTTTCAATATTTTGATTGTTTTATTGCAAAGAAATATTTTTTTCATGAATAAAATAACTAATTTTTAATCTTAAAAGTGTGAGTTCTTGTCTAGGATTCACAATCAACTTATTATCACCTCAAATATATATTGTGCACAGAGTAATTGAATGATTAAGATAATACACTACTGAAGTCCAGGCATGTACTGAACCCAATAGTCGGTGGTCCACATCAAGCAGGCAGAGCCCTGTGTTTAGAATGTCAGAAGAATCAGGCCTGTGTGTAACTCATGTTTCTCCCCCATTGCTCTCCCCCACAAAAAGAATACCCTCAGTGTTTCAAAGAACTTGCAAGGCTTGAGGAACTGTAAAATGTTATTAGAAAAAATGTAAGGTAGTGGTGTAAAAAAGGGTTTTTTTATTAGTTTGCTAGGGCTGTGGTAACAAAGTACTACAGACTGGATGGCTGAACCAACAGAAATTTATTTTCTCACAATTCTGGAGGCTGGAAGATCAAGATCAAAGTGTTAGCAGGTTTAGTCATTCCTGAGGCCTCTCAGGAAGGGTTATAAATGGCAGCCCTCTTGTTACATCCTCACACGGCCTTTTCCCTATGCAAATGCATACCTGTCTTCTCCTCTTACAAGGGCCCCAGCCTAACAATCTCTAAAACTTCAAGAATTTTAACTTAATCACATCTTTAAGGACTTTGTATCCTCAAATACAGTTACATCCTGGGGTACTAAGTGGTTGGGACTTCAACATGAGAACTTAGAGGGGCACAATTTATCCCATAACAGGTTGCTATCCTATTTTTTATATATATAGGTGTAGTGATTCTGTGTATGCTTAAAAACTAATGCAGTGCATCAGAGAATCGCTCTCCTCCTCTGCCTGTTAGAGGAGTGCTAAGAACTTGGAGAGGTTCCTTTCCACAAGAATTGTAAAATCAGTTCATAAATTGTATAAAAATAATCATAGGCTGAGTTCTGAAATAGTTATTTAATATTCTCCCTAAGTTAGCTGAGGTAGCTAAAAGAAACATATAAGCTAAATGGTTAGATATTAGATTATCTTGTATTACTGAAGAAAAAAGTTCTAGGAGAGGAAATCTTTGTGAAAGTCACTTTGTCTTATTAGGTGATAGTTTAGGTGATAATTAACATTGCAAGATCTGGATTTCAAAAGTCTTGCTAAAAATGTCTGTATAAAATGGTTTTTTCCTCTGCTTCAAGTGCTTCATCCCTTTCCTTTTTCTTTTTCTTGCCTTAAAAGAGAAGCCTATGCTGACCTTTTCCCCAGTATGTAACTGGTTCCTCCATTATTTTCATAGAGCACCTTTCCTTTTTCTTCAGGCCTCTTATATAATTGAAATCATATTGTTCATCATCGGTGTTGGTCTCATCCACTGAATTCTAAGCTTCATGGCGGACAGCAGCTGTGTCTGTTGTCACCACTTTTGACCCACAGTTGCTGGCACTAAATAGGTACTCCATGAATACCTGTAAAATGACTGAACCACCAGGATGTTTCACACTACAACTAAATATGTCATTTGGTTACAGTGTTATGCCTGGGAAATTGGGCTCATTTCTATTTGTATTTCTGTCTAGAATGTGGCAGATCAGATTGCATTTCAAGTTGCTGGTGGATTAACAGCCCTTGAACACATTCTTCAAGTAGCGGCCCCAGGCGCAAATGTGAACACAGTTTCACGAATTCCTCCTAAGTAAGTAAAGTTTTTTAATCTGTCTTCCATGTTTCATTTGTGAGTCATTTCTTCCCTATGCTTCCATATGGGGAACCACAAGAAAACTGTATATGTGTTCAGGCTTGAATAGCAAAAGTTTATACTCCCCATTAGGGGGAAAAACAGAGGTGCTCAACTTCACTTACAAAACTCAGATTGAGCCTAAAAAGCCTTATGAAGGAAACCTCTTTGGTCTATGACCTTCTCTAATCCTAAATCAAGAATTGATGAACTCATGGGCAGTTCTGACTGCTTGCAGAGACTGAACAGGAATGAACAGTAGTACCAGAATGCTAACTTGTGTTGCATACAAAAAAAAGGTAAGTGCATCAACAAAAGCCTGAACTGTGAAATTCGAAGCCGTTCCTAACGTACAGGAAGAGCAGTTTGAGGCCAAGACTGCCAGTCTAGAGCCCCAGCCCGGCAGCTGGGAACTGAATTGCAGCTTGGCCTGTAAGTGCGTGTTGCTCTGTCATAGGATTCTGCACAGCCTTTATACCTAAGATCTGCTTTCCTGTTCTCTTACGTCACCCTTTGGTCCCTAGCCACCTGGGCTGTAGTAGCAGACAGCATTATTTCAGAAGTATTGTGTTCCTGAGCTAGAGTATGCACAATACTGTATATTTAGTGAAGATTCTTATTTATAGAGTTTAAATGAGAGGTTTTAATAAAAGTTTATTTATGTCACTGCGAAAACTTTTAAATTATCTACTTAGTGCGATAAAAGTGAATGCTTTATCTGTCCACTGGAAACAACAGAAAAAAAATTCCAAGAGTATGTTCATTTTTCCTGAGAAACATTTTGGTAAAATGAAAATAACAGCTGCTGTGGAGTCAGACAAACCTGGATGTTACCTTTGCCAACTACGAGCTGGAAGAATTTGGGCAAACACCTTAATCTTGTGACATCTCTTTCCTCATTTGGCTTTAAAGGGCAATCGTACTCACCAGAGCTACTGTGGGAATTAGTTGCAATAGTGTATATGGGAGTTCTTTGTAAACTTTAAAGTGTCATACAAATGTTCGGTGGCAGCTTATTTAAAGTAGTAGTCTTGCCTGGTATAACATGTTGTCTGACATGAGACATTTCTAAATACAAGCTCTGATACTGAAGTTAGTTTGGGTTCCTTTGCTCTACTGACAAAATGGAGATTAATGAAAGAAGGCACAGGTACCCTCTAAGTCAGAACTGCTCTGTCAGGCAGTTGTAGCACATACAGAAGCCTCCTAGCCCAGGAGAGCTGGTGTCACTGTCACAACAGACTTGTCATTGACCATGTGCTGCTCAGCAAGGTGTCCTCAGTGTGTGTTAGCTGGCAGAGGCGGGGAGAAAGGAAGGAAAAGGTGAACATTGAGGCGACAAATAGCATCTCGTTCTTGGGCTGTGCTTTGCCATCTGTTGATGGTCTGTATTGTCCACCCTACATGTGCCTGTAGTTCTTTGGTCTCTGTTTTGGTGGGTCATTTGTTTTCTGGTAGCCTTCAACATGCATGACCCTGACCTGTCTGGCTGGAGATCTAAATTAAACACCTGTTTCCCAAAAGCTACTTCTGTCGTTTTGTCATTCTGGCACTTATCATATCAGTGCCTCTCATTTAGGGAACTGAAGAGGTTTCCAGAGTTCCTTGAAAAAACCTAAACAACGATTAGCATACCTGCTTTGGAAAGGCACCGTGGGTCCTGAGAGTCCAGACGGGTTCTCCTCCGATGACCACCAGCTGACCTCAGTGCCAGGACTGAGAGCTGTGTCTTCATCTCACCTTAGGGACTTCACACTGAATGAGGCCAGCACTCAGGGCTGTGGGCATCTAGCACTGACTCAAGGATACTCCTGTCCGGAGCACAGCTTATGATCATGACTACTTTCTGAACTAGCCTCATTTCTAAGAGCTAAAGTATTGAGGCTGTGAGAATGTTACGCTGCTTACTCCAAGAGGGCAAGAGAAATTCCATGACTGTGTCGGATTTAGATGTAGACTCACTGGTGGGCATGAGTCAGTTGCTTAATTCACAAAGTATTCTTTCTCATATTCTCTCTAACTCCTATTCTGCACAAGCCCGTGCCCTGGTGCCGGCCTTCTCTAGTCCCTGGCATACTTCCATAGCCCCTGGGCACTACCTTTGCTCTTAACTTGCCCAGATCCTTCCTTGCATCCATGATGAGCTCGCACCCCTCAACTCCATGAACTTTCTGCCACCTTAGTTCATTATGTTTTCTTCCTATTACGGCATTTCATGGCTCTTAACTAGAGAGGCTCGTTTTTTACTATCCCGATTAGTTATTTTTTCTCAGTGATAACTAGCCGAGGATTTGAGAAGTTTTAGCCACCATTAGTACCATTTTACCATGTGGATCATCTCAGCAGTTACCATGGGGGTCACCTGTTATTGCTGACCTGGTGTTCACGGCCCCTGCACCCCTGAGCTCTGCGAGTGGATAAACCAGCTCCCTGCTCCTCTTTCCTCAGCACCCTGCCCAGCTCCCTGTTCACTCCGGATAGTACTTCAGCAGTTGCCCTGTGTTTATTGCTAGGTCACTTCCTGTGACTGAGTATTTTCTTCCAGCAGGTATTTTTAAACATGAAATTGAAAATTACACCTGTTTCTGAAAATTTAAACTTTTGAAACCTTTCAGAATCTTCAGTGGGTTGTTTTGCTTTTGATAGAAGTAGGGAAGTTCATTAAATTGCTTGAATCCTTTTCAAATTAACATCGAAAGGTCTTAGGCAGGATGTGGTATTCCAAAGTCAACCTTCTTAGCAGCTGTGCCATAGTTTTTGTTTTCAGTGCTAAGAAAGCTCACCCTGAAACAAGGAAGTTTTCATCTCGTGTTTTATCTACTTTTGGAATGACCCGTGTCATTCTGCCTCCTAACTTTAATAGCAGAAAACAAGTGTGAAAGTATAAATGACATATTCTAGCCTTTTCTTTGGTTTAGACTAATAACAGTTAAGATAGCTTTTAATATTTGAAAATAAGTGGTGGTTTGTCATTTTCCTTTGGGCATAAAGAACTCCCTATGTTATATAAGTAAGAAGAGGGATCTGCTATGACTACAAACTGTGGCCAAAACTTTGTGTCATGTCTCACAGCATATTTACATAGTGGCAGTGACACTGAAAGTGAGAGCGGCACTTTGCTGGCGTTCCACATCTCCAAGCCCTTTTCAGGCAGCAGCAGATGTTCGTATTTCACAAAGAAGCCTGCAAAACTTCTGAGTCGTCAAAAGTGATGGCCAGCCTGAGTCTTCCCCAAAATACCTTTTACTTAGTTGGTGTTCCTAGTTGTTGACAGACACTCGTGGACAACAGAGGCCAAATGGTCAGCTCTTCACGCTACTGCAGGTCGTTCTTTCGGAGAGCTGACCAGGCCCCTGTTTCTTCTCTCTACCTTGCTTGTCTTCCTTCATTGTCCCTTTGGACATGATTTTTCATACAGAAGTAGTCTCATCAACATGAACAGGGCAGACAGCTTGGCATAGTGGAAAGTATGCGGGCTCAGGAGTCAGTCTGAGCTTCCATCTCTGCTTTTCACTTGTTAGCTATATGACCTTGGGCCAAATTACTTTCTGGAACAGAGCTTCAGTTAAATGGCAACACTACCATGTAGGGTAGGGCTTGTTGACTATTGTGAGAATTAAAATGGCATGTGTTTATTGAGTGTCCTGCACAAAGAAAACACTTAGTATCAGTAGCTTTTGTTGTAGTTACTGTTTTGACTCTACATTACCCTACTTAATTACTGAGCTTTATTTAAATCTCTAAGTCTGTGCCATGTTTGCTTGTAAGACGCTGTGATCTATTAATTTTACTTGGGCATTTGACTTTTCACCTTGAGTTCAAAGTTCATCCTGGTAAATTTTAGCTTAGTCTGTCAAGATCCTTTTGGATCTTGATTTGACGCTAATTTAGATTCTTTTTCTCTAACTTTGTGCCAGCCCTAAAGTTGATGTGTAGGACATATGTGTCTTTATCTTAATCATTGAATAGTTCACTTAGCAGAGTACACTTATTAATGTACTGTGTTGCCAAGTATTCCATTTGTTGTACTGTCATCTCCCCAAATAGACTGTAACTCCATGGGATCAGAGACCATAGTAAATGCATTGTTTGTAAATCATATGGCACCTTAGTAACTATGGTTTGAATACATGAATGAACTCCTTTCCTGAGAAATAGAAGTGAAGCAGTTAAAGAGCATACTGCATCAAATACTTGACTCTGTGGACTTAAAATCTGATCATATGTCAGCCAAATAGGGCCCTTCTGATTTTGAACATTGTTTTAACTAGACTTTAGAAATTTTTTTATTCTGTTTTTAAATTTCTGTAAATTTGCATGTATGTCATGTATTTGTGACTACGACTTACTTGGAAGGCCTAAGGCAATGCTAAAGCTGCTTTCTTGGCCGTTGTCCTTCTCACGGCTTTAGAACCAGGACACACTGGTATGCATGACACTGACCCCCTTTTAAACTGTGGTGAAAAATAGATCCTCCCATGTCTGTGGCCTTTATAAAGTATAGCTGTCTTCACTTTTTCTATAGTATATAACTCATCTGTCTGCCTGTAATCAGTCTTACTCAGGTAGAACAGCAGTTACTTCATATCAAAATAAATTTAAAGCAATGTGATGTGGAGCTTTGCATATTGGGGAGATAATTTATCAGGTATCGCACATTTATTCTCCAAAGTAAAAGAAAATAAAACCTGTGCCTTCATGCAATTTATTCACTTGGCAGTACTGTTTTAACTTGATTCTTTGATGAGGAGACAGACTTTAGTATTTATTGGGTGCTAGGTACCGATTACTATGCCAAATACTTTGCACAAGTTACCTTGTCTGTGCCTAACAGTTACCAGCAGCTTTGTGTATGGCCCACTACCAGAATGAGGGCTGGCAGCAGTCACATTTAGGGCATGACTGCAGCCTGAGAGAGCCAGCATATCCCTTTTGAAGGAGTATTTATTCTTTGCAAA